CAATTGTTATTATATATATGTACATATATATACACACACATATATATATATATATATATATCAATGAAGTATTTAAAAAAATATCAATATCATAATAAATTTCAAGTATTCCAATTTAACTAAATAAAATAATTTTTATTTCAATATCGATTTATTGCAATATCGATGTTTTCTGTTTTGCATATCATTCTCTATTTAGATGTGCTAATGATAATCCGTATGTTAGAAATTACTTTATTACATGTCTTTATATTTTAAAAGGTTATAAATAGTCAAAAGACGTCGTTGTTATTTCGTAGCTAACAAATAATCTTTCAGTCACGACTTATTACTCGACGTAGCAACTTTCAATACAACTTTAAATATAATTTATCTCAATCGCAGCGCATAAACAGATAAAGTGCCTAGTGCCAATTCATATATATTTGTGGTCGCCAATTTGAAATTAAAAATAACAGTTAAAAGTTTCTGGCTTATATTACGCTGAAGTGCATAAAAATGACAAAGTAGATAAACTTAAGCAGCAACTATTAATACATTAAAGTATTTTTAACGATAATTTACTAATTATATATAATAATTATATTTAATTTGCCGTAGAAATTTCAAAATCAAGTCAAGGATCAAAACGAAAGGAGAAAGGTGGAAGTTGTTCCATGCCACCGATTTTCAATCTTTGATGTATCCTAACTTTTTCATAAGCAAAATTCTTGGAATATTTCCATACAGAATTAAGCTTTCGTCTTTTGAAACTTCTAAACCGCGCTATATTCTATGGACTATTATTCTTTGCGTAATCTGTGTTTATGAGTTGACAATTTTGTATAAACTCAATCTGTCTGAAAAACTCAAGATAGATGTACCAAGGATTGTCTGGGTGAATTTTTCCCATTTATATGGATTGTTTCTAGCGGTCATCTCTTATGCCTTGAGTAATCCGCGAATGCGTTTATTACAGACTATATTAGAGATTTCTTCGAATTTGCCCCAGAAATCGTATCAAAAACTATCCAAATTAATACACGCCAAAGATGTTTTCGGCTTTTTTTTTCATTTCTGGCTAATATCAACGTTATATTTTTTGTATTCTGAAATGATGGTTTTCGGTTTACTCGAAATGTCCAGAATTTTCATCAACTTGATGGCATTTCAAATGGATATGCTATATATAAATTGCGTTTGTGTCTTAAAAGCATGTTTCAAAGAAATCAACGATAATCTGGAGAATCTGCCGGAGATCGTAAAAAATAATCCTAGCTGGATCTATCATGAACAGAGACATCCGTTCTTGCTGATAAAACTTAAGAAACTGAAGAAACAGCATTTGATGATAACTGACACAGTGAAAATGCTTAACATGATTTTCAGTCTACATCTTCTCTCTACTATAGCTGTTTGCTTCAAGCAGATAATATTCTACATCTATTTTGATACAATACAATGGCAAAACGGAATATCCTTAAATCAAGACAAAATTTATAATGCATTTTTCATATCAGTATTAATATATTACTTCACAAGATTAATATTGATAGTGTGGGCTTGCGAAACCGCCAAAAATGAAGCGATAAGAATTAGCACTACCATTCACGATGTACTTAATAATATAAAAAATGTGCAAATCAAAAATGAGGTAATAAAGAAGAATTTCACTTTAGTTTTTTTACGAACATGTCGCGATTTTGACATTAAATCTAAATAAATTATATTTAACTGATTTATATTTATAATTTCTGTTTTATAGTCTATTTATTACGTTATTTGTTGTTGTAGTTAAATTTGTTCTCTTTGCAAATATTGCATTGCGATAATACATTCTCCGCGAAAGGTCTAACTATAGATGCAACGTTGATCACTGTGGTGAGTGATTAAATATAATTTTGTTAAGTACGTATTACTTATGTATTTCATGTTTTGCTTTTAGATGGTGAGTAGCATTTCCACGGATCTGTTAATCTTAATACAATTTTTGATCTTGACGCATTCTTGCGACAGTAAGACAGATGCAATTATTTATACACAAACAATTTAATTAATACAAATGCGTTTGAGAATTTTGAAAACTTATTATCTTTATGTGTTGAATGTTTTATCGTTGTGATATAATTGTCCAACGTTTTTAAAAAATCATATATATACGTTCTATCCATGTATGCTAAATAAAAATCTTGTATCATGTGTATTAATAAATCAGATTTTAAAACTTTATTTGTTTAAATGTACCCCACTGACATACAAATTAATAAAAATCTAAAAGCAATCAAATATTTACAAAATCAGTGATCGAGCCATGACACTATCGAGTAATGATACTAATTTAAATAATTTTATTTATAAATCGACATACAAAATTATAAAAATCCAATAAGTACATATTGCATATTTCTTATTCAAATTTCAATCACCAATAAAAATTTAACGAAATTTTCAGTCATCATTTAGAGATGATAGACTAATTGTTGCAATAATAATTTTCGATTTTTAATATCTTATTTGTTTTTCGATTTATTTATTAGTAGTGTAAAAAACATAAAAGACAAATGACTAAAAATAATTCGCTATTCATATATTTACAAAATACTTATTAATTTCACAATCAGAATATATCAAGCAATTTAGATATTAGATCAATTTTAATCTAACATGTAAATTGGAAATATCATTCTTACATTACGAAATTAGTGTTTCTAAAAATGCAGTACAATTTAATAATATTTTGATGCGTAAAATTCATGTAAAAATACAAGTAAAATCCAAATTATTACAAAATTAGATAACTATTGCATCTATTTTCCAATTATTATTACAAATTATAACAGGAAAATGCATATGAATATATTTTTGAATGAATAAAACTTTTATATTTAAAAAATACAATAATAAAGATCACATTAAAGTAGAAAATAATTAAATATCAAAATTATTATTATATTAATCGGTGAAGACTTCAAAAAATATCAATATTATTAAATATCAAAAGACTACACACATAATATAAAAATTCAAACAAAATCAAAGAAGCATTTAAGATCCAGTTTAAGGCTTTGATTGCTACAATTTCTGTATTACATATGTATGGTCACATAGTATACCCTATAATATATTACCTTAATATATTAATATTATGATAGATATTTATATATTAATATTATTAATATTATGATAGAAGTAGCAAGTATTTCAATTAAATAGAATAATTTCTATTTTATGTAATATTTATGCATTCTGCATTTATTCTCAATTTAGATGCTAAATATAGATAATTCGTACGTCAGAAATTACTTTATTACATATACTTTATATTCTATAAGGTCATAAATAATAGTCAAAGACATGGTTGTTACTTTGTAGCTAACAAATAATCTTCTAGTCACGACCTACTACTCGAGCAGTAACTGTCAATACAGCTTCAAATTTAATTTTATTCAATCGCAGTACATAAACAAATAAAATTAGTAACAATTCATGTATATTTGTGGTCAAAAGTTCGAAATTGGAGATTACATTTAAAAGTTTCTATCTTGTATTAACATTAAAGTGCATAAAAAATGATAAAGTAATAAGCACCAACCATTACTAAAATATTAAAATATTGTTCTTTAATGATAATTTGACAATTATATTTAATTTGTCGTAGAAATTTTAAAGTCAAGTCAAGGACCAAAATGAAAGGAGAAAAGTGGAAATTGTTCCGTGCCACCGATTTTCAATCTTTGATGTATCCCAACTTTATTATAAGCAAAATTCTCGGAATATTTCCATACCAAATTAAGGCTTTGTCTTTTGAAACATCTATACCGCGCTATATTCTATGGACTATTATTCTCTGCGTAATCTGTGTTTATGAGTTTACAATGTTGTATGAACTCAATTTTTCTGGAAAAATCCTGGAAAAAAAGATTGATATACCCAAGACTATCTCGTTGAATTTTTCCTTTTTATATGGATTATTTCTAACGATCGTCTCTTATGCTTTGAGCGGTTCGCGAATGCGTTTACTTCAGACTGTATCAGATATTTCTTCAAGACTGTCCCAAAAGTCGTATCAAAAACTTTCTAAATTAATACACGCTAAGGACATATTCGGATTTTTTTTTCATTTTTGGTTAGCGTTAACATATTTCTTGAATTCTGAAACAATGATTTTCGGTTTATTTGACATATTCAGAGTTGTTATTAGCTTGTTGGCATTTCAAATGGATATGCTATACATAAATTGCGTTTGTGTCTTAAAGGCTTGTTTCAAGGAAATCAACGATAATATCGAAAATCTACAGGAATTCGTGATGAATAATATTCCTAAACGGATATATCATGAGCAGAAACATCCATTCTTGCTGATAAAACTTAAGGCTCTGAAAAAACAGCATCTGATGATAAGTGACACAGTGCAGATGCTTAACATGATTTTCAGTCTGCATCTTCTTGCTACCATAGCATTATCCTTCAAGCAGATAATATTCTACTTGTATTTCAATGTAATACAATGGCAAAATGGAATATCCTTGAATCGAGACAGGATTTATAACATATATTTCATATCATTCTTAATATATTACTTTTTAAGATTGACAATGATAGTGTGGGCTTGTGAAACTGGCAAAAATGAAGCGACAAAAACTAGCACTACCATTCACGATGTACTTAATAGTATCAGCGATGTGCAAATCAAAGATGAGGTGAAGAAGAATTTTGCTTTAATTTAAATTTCTTACAAACATGTCGCAATTTTTATATATTAGATTTAAATAATTTATATTTAACTGACTGAAGTTTATCATTTCTATTTTATAATTTTCGTATTTATTATCATATGATTTGTTATTGCAGTTAAATTTGTTCTCCTTGCAAATACTGCATTGCAATAATACATTCTCCGCGAAAGGTCTCACGGTAGATGCAACATTGCTCACTACAGTGAGTGATTATATATATTCCTTAATTAAATATGAATCATTTACGTATTTCGTATTTTGCTTTTAGATGGTGAGTAGTGTTTCCACATATATATTAATTTTAATACAATTTTTGATCATAACGCACTCTTGTGACAAAGCAAATGAAATTAATTATACACAAACAAATTAATTATTACAAATATATTTTTGAGAATATAGGAAATATTTGATGTTTACTTGTTGAATATTTTGTGTTGAATATTTCGCTATGAGTATAATTGATAACCGTTATTATTTCTGAAAAAAAATCATATATACATCTTATGCATGTATTTCAAATGAAAATCTTGTACTATGTTAAATAAGATTTTAAGACCTAATTTGTTTAAATGTACTACACTAATGTAGAAATTAATAAAAAATGTATTTCATATCAAAAATATATCATAAAACTTGATTTAAGTTTAACTGTCCTTTCGTTAAAAATAACATATGTTAAATAACTAATATTAATGAATCATCAGCTTAATTTATATCTTATCCGTTTCTCATATCAATTAATTCATAGAATCTTTTTATTAAATCAATATTTATCAAAAAGTACGATTAAAACTCTTAACTCTTTAAAGCATATATTTTTCTTTACGTAGAATTCAATTGAAAATTTGTTACTTGGGAGTTTTTCGTGGTCACTGATTACAAATCTGGCCTCAGATTTTCAAAATTCAAAATGGCGGACAAAAAAGTGAAACATTTTTTTATTTTAATGAAACTTGTTACTCGGGGATTTAAAATTTTTCAATTTTGACTTCAGATTCGTAATTAGCGATCCAAAACCTCTCAGACTAATTAGCTGTTGATTAGTCACATTCTATTGTTAAAAAAGGATGAATTTTTTCCAATTTGTTTATTTATAAAATACATTTCGTTAATAATAGGTATGTTTCCACGGTTTTTTTATAACAATTGATGTTCTAAACACTGATAATGTTCTTTTTATTGTAGTAATATGTTAGAAACTGTAAAAAATATAAAAAACTGAGATTAAAAAAGGGATACTTCTGCAAAGGGCTAAGATAAATTTAAACGCTTAAAATTGATTTAAATAATTCGTTAAATGCAAACTGCGTACTTGTTATTCAAGTTTCAGTTATCAATACAGATTCAATTAAATTATTATTGAGAGACAGAAGAATTATTGCAATGATAACATTTAATGTTTATCTCGTTTTTTTGTATACAAAAAACAAAAAATCAACTAATTGAAAATTTCTCATTCATATACTTTTAAAGTATTTACTTGTTAATTTCACATCAAAAGAATATTGCAATTTACATATTCGTTGGATCAATTTTAATCTAAGAAAGAGCACTCATTACGAAATTAATGCTTCTAAAAATGTGCACAGCATAATAATATTGTGCCGATTATATTGTCATTACTCCAATTCATGATTTTATAATATAATTTTTATCATGAGAATATCATATTCTCGGAATCACGAGAATATACGCGTACAATAGAAGACCTGCTCAGCTGTTTGAGATAAAAAAGAAACACAAAGCAGGCACGAGACGATTAAATCGACAAGCCTAAACAGCGGCAGCGAAAACACATAATAATTAGAGACGCGTTTAAATTGAATTTATTAGAATTTATTATGTATTAATAATCCGACATTGTAGTCAAGTGCAATATCGCACGTACTATAATCATCAAGGGAAATGAAATGCAATCTTGTAGGCAAGGAAACTAAGCCGAAAGATCGCATACATTTTAAATCTAGATTCCGAAATCTACTTGAATGGCCAAAAAACAATAGTGTTTTTCTGAGCGAGAGGTCAAACAAGTAATCGCGAGAAATAAGTAACATTTCTCCGCTGCTTTTGTCAAGTAAAGTTGCTGTATAATCTGATGCGCTCGGAATAAAAACGTTTATTCTAGTCCAAACTTGATTGTATTTGATACCGATCGTAACTCGTGAACCATAACACAATTCGAACACCCATATTCCATCCAAAATATTTTAATGTGTACATTTATGTATAAGTAAAATTTAATTTATTAGAAAATTAGATTTGATTTTATAATTTTCAATTATCATATCAAATTATTATAAATGCATATGAATACATATATTTTTGGATAAAAATATGTATAAATATTAAATATTTTCACATTAAAACCTTCAATAATAAAGATCAAAGTTAGTAGATATCAAAGTTGTTACATTAACAGATAAAAAAAAATTCCCAAAAAATATTAATGCTAGAAATATCAAGTATTCTAATTAAATAGAATAATTTTTATTTTATGTAATGTTGATACTTTTAGGCATATTATTTCTTAATTGAGATATGCTAAATGATAATTCATGTTAGAAATTACTTTATTACATGCCTTTGTATATTAATAGGTCATAAAAATAATAATCATAAGATGTCGATATTGCTTCGTAGCAAACAAATAATCTTTTTTTTTTAGTAACGACTTATTATTCGACGCAGCAATTATCTGCAGCTTTAAATTTAATTAAACTCAATTGCAGATCATAAACAGATAAGACTAGTGTCAATTGATGTATATTTGTGATGGAAAATTTGAAATTAAATACTACATTTAGAGATTTCTGGCTTGTATTAACGCTAAAGTAAAAAAATGTAAAAGTAAGGGAGACTGGGGTCAGTAAATAATAGGGATAAATAAAATAATCGAAGCTATGTTAAAAACAAAATACGTGAGATACGCGTGATAAACCATGGTTGTCAGGTCTTAAGATTTCGAGACATTAGTTTTCGGAATCAATCTCCAGTTTTTCGCTCGCGTGGGATATTTATTAATTGCACTATCCAGTGATGCTTGCGATGTTATTGTATATAATTATTATGATTTTCCGTTCAGAATGTACATTTTAAAATATTTTTACTATTATTACTAAGCGTAATGTAGAAAAGAAAAATCAAAGAAGAATTAGAAAATCTATACTACAAAACAGATATATGAAAGAGGTTGGTTTTCGCAAATATTATGTTGTGTTAAAGATGATGTAGCGTATTATTCTTTGTGTTTTGTATAAACGCACTGCACAATGTAATATTTAAATTACGTGGAAAATAATAAGAAAATCTAGTATAACAGCTTATGTAATCCTGTAATAATAAGAAAGTTTCTGTGATTGTGTTGACACTTTAAGTAGGTCAAATAGTAATAACAAAAAGAAAATCTGTAACCAGTGATTGCAAAACACAAATTAAACTGGATCTTTTTCTTATTTTTTTTTTAATGAAACAATCCGTTGGCCTCCAGTCGAAATATAAACTCTCCAGTGCATGACCTTCGGGCCCGTACAATGCTCAGGACTTGGCAATCGCAGCATAGTAAACGTGTCTGAGCACGCAGCACTGCTCTAAGAATATCCAAATCGAATTTTTTGCTCACTGTTTAATTACTTAGTTACTGTTTAATACAGATTCAAGTATTGTTCTTTCATAATAATTTGTTAATTATATTCAATATAGAAATTTCATTACCAAAAAAAAACTCAAGAGCCAAAATGAAAAGGGAAACGAGGACATTGTTTCGTGCTACCGATTTTCAATCTTTGCTGTATCCCAACTTTATCATAAGCGAGAAATTCTCGGAATATTTCCATACAGAATTAAGATTACATCTTTTGAAACTTCTAAACCGCGTTATATTCTATGGATTTTTATTCTCTGTGTAATCTGTGTTTATGAATTGACAATATTGTATGAACTCAATCTCTGTAAAAAAATCAAGATAGATGTACTGATAAGATTATCTGAAAGAATTTCTCCCAATTATATGGATTGTTTCTGGCGTTCATCTCTTATGCTTTGAGTTCGCAAATGCGTTTACTTCAGACTTCAGATATTTCTTCGAGATTGCTACAGAAGTCATATAAAAAATTATCCAAATTAATACACGCTAAGGATATTTTCGGTTTTTTCTTTCATTTCTGGCTGGCGTTAACATTTCTCATATAATGATAAAAATGTTTTTGGTTTATTCGATATCTTCAGAGTTTTCATCAACTTGTTAGGATTTCAAATAGATATGTTATACATAAATTGCGTTTGTGTCTTAAAGGCCTGTTTCAAGGAAATCAATGATAATCTGGAGAATCTACGAAAGCTGATAATAAATAATCCTAGACAGATCTATCTTGAGCGGAGACATTCATTTTTGTTGATAACTTAAGACTTTGAAAAAACAACACCTGATGATAAGTGACACAGTGAAGATGCTTAACATGATTTTCAGTCTGCATCTTCTCGCTACCATAGCTTTATCCTTCAAGCAGATAATATTCTACGTATATTTTGCTGTAATACAATGGCAAAATGGAATATCCTTGAATCAAGATGAGATTGATAATGCATATTTCATATCAGTCTTAATATATTACTTTACAAGATTAATAAACATTAATAGTGTAGGCTTGTGAAACTGACAAAAATGAAGCGATAAAAATTGGCACTCTCATTCACGATGTACTTAATGGCATCAGCGATGTGCAAATAAAAAATGTGGTAATAAAGAATAATTCCATTTTATTTAAAAGTTTTTTACTACCACGTTGCGATTTTTATATATTTTTATACATTGGGTTGGAAGTTCGTGCCGACTAACCTATATAATTTAATAAATGTATACTAAAATTTAAATCTTCTGCGTTTCAATTTTCCTTCAAAATCGGTACGAACTTTCCGCCCAATCTAATACATTAAATCCAAATAAATTAAATTTAACTGATATTTAACTCTACATTTATTATTTCTGTTTTATAATTTTCGTATTTATTATCATTCGATTTGTTATGGCAATTAAATTTGTTCTTGCAAATATTGCATTGCGATAATACATTCTCCGCGAAAGGTCTAACTAGATGCAACATTGTTCACTATGGTGAGTGATTATATATGTTCCTTAATTAAGTATGAATCATTTACGTATTTCATATTTTGCTTTTAGATGATAAGTAATATTTTTACATATCTATTAATCTTAATATAATTGTTGATCATGACGCATTCCTGCGACAGCAAGACAAAAGCAATTTAATTAATACCAATGCGTTCGAGAATATTGAAAACTTTTGATTTTTATGTGGAATATTTTGTCACTATGAGTGTATTTGTTCAAACGTTTTTATTTTTTAAAAGTCTCATATATATATATATATATATATATGTGTGTGTGTGTGTGTGTGTGTGTGTGTGTGTGTGTGTGTGTGTGTGTGTGTGTGTGTGTATCAATATATGTGTACAAGATATCAGATATGAATCTTGTACACCACGCATTTTTTTATTGATAATCAATGACATGAATGAGACTTTATTTGTTTAAATATACCATACTATACTAGTATATAAATTAATAAAAATGTATTTCATGCCAAATATATAATGCAATTTAACAATTTAATTGTTCTTTTATTAAAAATAAAATATGTTAAATACTTAAGTAGTTAATACTATTAAATCATCAGCTAATTTATATCTTATATTTTCGTACCGAAATTAATTCTTATAATTTTTTTATCAAATCAATATTTATTAAATATAGTACGAATAACTATTGGAATAAATTTAACGTTTAAAATTGATTTAAACAATTTGTTACATGCAAATAGCATATTTTTTATTCAAGTTGCAATTATCAATAAAGATTTAACTAAATTAATAAATAAAATTGAGAGATGATAGATAAACTATTACAATGAAATGTTTAATTTTTGGTATTTTATTTATTTTTGTACATAAAAAAAGTTAACGTACTGAAAATAATGTCTCATTCGTAAACTGTATAAAATACTTTATAACAATAATCAAAGGAATATCAAGCAATTTAGATATGATAAATTGATATTAGTCAGATCAATTTTAATCTAGGAAAAAGCATTCATTATTATACATGAAATTAGTGCAATTTCATAGAAATGCGCGCATACAATTTAATAATATTTAAATGTGTAAAATTTATGTACAAGTAAAGTATTTATTGCAAAAAATAAAATATTATTTTCAATTTCTTTTAATTATAAATTATAATAGGAAAATGCATACGAATATATTTTTAATTAATATGTATAAATATTTTAATATTAAAAACTACAATAATAAAAACTACATTACAGATAAAGGTTATTAGAAACCAAAATTGTTATCTTATTATCCAGTTGAGTCTCCAAAAAGAATATCAATATTGCGATAGAAACATAAAGTATTGTAATTTAATTAAATAGAACAATTTTTATTTTATCTGAGATCGACGCTTTCTGGTTTACATTATTCTTAGTTTAGATGTGCTAAATGATAATCCGATAATTCGAAATTACTTTAATATCTGTTCTCTAGTACCTATTCTAAGAAGTTATAAATAATGATTAAAAGACGCCGTTTCTTCGTAGCTAATGATATTTTAGTCACTACTTGCTACTCAACGCACACAGTAACTATGTTGCTAATGTTGCAGCTTTAAATTTAATATAATTCCATCGAAGTATATATAAATAAGACTAGTGTATACTATTTCATATATGTTTGTGGTGAACAGTTCGAAATTGAAGATAACACTTAAAGCTTCTGGCTTATATTAACGTGCATAAAAATGATAAAGTACTTAATATATTTAAGTAGCAACTATTATTAATATTGAATTGTTCTTGTCTCACGACAATGTGTTAATTATATTGAATTTGTTGTAGAAATTTCAAAATCAAATCAATGACCAAAACAAAAGGAAGAAAGTGGAGGTTATTCCATGCTACTGATTTTCAATCTTTGATGCATCCAAACTTTACCATAAGCAAAATTCTCGGAATATTTCCATACAGGATTAAGGATTCATCTTTTGAAATGTCTAAACTATGTTATATTCTGTGGACTATTATTGTCTGTGTAATCTTTATTTATAAGTTGATAATATTATATGATCTCAACCTCTCTGGAAAAATCAGGATTGATATACATATAATTATTTCATCAAATTTTTCCATTTTCTATGTATTCCTTCTAACGATTATTTCTTATACCTTGAGCGGTCCGCGAATGCATTTACTTCAGACTATATCAGATATTTCTTCAAGATTGCCCCAGCAATCATATCAGGAACTATCCAAATTAATACACGCTAAGGACATTTTTGGTTTTTTCTTTCAATTTTGGTTAGCATCAGTGTACCCCTATTTTGAGGTTTCCGGTTTACTCAAAGTGTTCGTATTTTTTGTCGGATCGTTGATATTTCAAATGGATATGCTATACATAAATTGCGTTTGTGTCTTAAAAGCCTGTTTCAAAGAAGTCAACGATAATATGAAGAATTTACGAAAGCTTGTGATGAATAATATTCCCAGATGGATTCATCATGAGCAGAGATATCCGTTTTTGTTGATAAAACTTAAGGCTCTAAAGAAACAGCATCTGATGATCAGCAACACAGTGCAGATGCTGAACGCAATCTTCAGTCTGCATCTTCTTGCTACTATAGCCTTATACTTCAAGCAGATAATATTCTGTGTGTATTTCAATGTAATACAATGGCAAAACGGGATATCCTTGAATCAAGATAAGATTTATAGTGCAAATTTCATATCACTCTTAGTATATTACTTTACAAAATTTACATTGATAGTGTGGGTTTGTGAAACTGGCAAAAATGAAGCGATAAAAATTGACACTATCATTCATGATTTGCTTAACAGCATCAGAGATGTACAAATTAAAAATGAGATAGTAAAGAAAAATATAATTCTATTTAAAAATTTGTTAATATATATGTATATTGTGATCTTTATGCATAAGATCTAACTAATAAGTTATATTTAAGTTTAACATTCTCGTTACTTCATTTTTGTTATCTTTTGATTTCTTGTTGCAGTTAAATCTGTTTTCCTTGCAAATATTACATTGCGATAATACATTTTCCGCAAAAGGTTTTAATATAAATGCAACGTTGGTCACTGAGGTGAGTAAAATTAAAAATGTTTCGTAATTAAGTAATATTACATATATATGTATACATATATACGTATTTCATATTTTGCTTTTAGATGGCGTTGCCACGTATCTGCTAGTCTTAATGCAATTTTTAATCATTACGCATTCTTGCGACAGTACACAAGATGCAATCAATTATACACAAACGATTTAATTTATATTAATATAAAGAAATGCGTTTGGAAATATTGAAATCTTTTTTGTTTTTATGTAAATATTTTGTCTCTCTGTGGATATAATTATCCAAAATTTTTAAAGAATCATACTTATACGACATATGTATGTACAGAGACAGATAAAAATCTTGTATCACGTATATTAATGACATATGACATAAATAAGATTGTAAGAGTTTATTTGTTTAAATGCATTATATTAATAAATAAATGGTATCTTTAAATTAAATGTGTCATACTATTTAACATTTTATTTGTTCTCTTGTTAAGCATAAAATAGCAAATAATAATGAAATAATAAAATTATTTAATTTCAATATTACTGATATATAAATATATATATCTGTATATGAAGACATATACATATAATTATTTTTTCAAATTATTTTCTATGGTGATATACGTAATATTCTGTAACTGAATGCAAGTAGCAGTATATGTATTTTATGAATATTATTTAATTATTAATATCTTTTCGATTTTTATTATTATTGCTTCGTTTATTCGCTAAATTATATAGTTTTTCTTCGTGAAACTTGTACAATATATATAATTTTAAATAATACAAATTTGCTTTAGCAAGATTTATTTAGTGTATTTTGTAGGTACTACGTATTTTAATTTTATATCGATGATAAATAAAAAGTAAGCAATAAAATAAGTATATTTATCAAATTTCCTGAAAAATACAATCATTTTTGCAAATTAATACTAAGTATATCTAATAATAATGGATGTATTATGTTTGCAACATGATTTGTATGATTCAATAATAATTCGCTTATAATTATTTATAAATAATTATTATAAGCAAATTATAAATAATGATTTATTTAATATAAAACTATAAAGAAAAATTAATCTGTTGATGAAGGAAAAGGAATTATTAATTCAGTTATCAGTTCATTTATCAAATCATTTATAATTTATGAAAACCAATATTATTAATTGTTCTTCATTACAAATTTATTTTTATTTTATATCAATTACATATATACACAATTACAATATATTTTTAATCAAACACACACTGACATTTTTAAATTAAAAATTACAACGGAATAAATATTTAAAATCAATATTATTAAATTGATGTTGTAGTATAGAAAGCCAAACATTATTTTAGTCTAAAAAAGAATTTTTAAAAATTCTCAAAGTTATTATTCCATAAATTTTAAGTAGTCGATTTTCATTTACATAATTTATGATCTTAATTCGATTGATGATTCGTATCTCAACAATTACTTTATTAGTTTTTTCTGTACATCAACAATTACTTTATTAGTTTTATGCGCATGCGGCTTGAGAAGAATAGACGCTAATCGAAGAAAGCCATTCGTTTCACGGCTAACAAATAATATCTGACTTTTGAGTCGTGTCTCACCTATTTGATGCAGAAACTACGTTTTGTGATACAGTTTTAAATTTCGTTCGCCAGATGCATACAGATTATGTGCAGTGCATATCAATTTATATACTTGTGATGGAAATATTAAAAAGATAGTATTTGCAATAACGTTCGTATTAATGTTTACAATACATTCACAAAGTGTATTAATAATTTTTAAGCATTATTAGTCTTATTAACAGATAAAATTGTTTTCAAAATTCTGTTAATTATGTTCAATTTATCGTATAAATTTCAAAAACAAATCAAAGAACGAAAAAGATGACTATTTCACGCCACGAACTTTCAATCGTTGATGTATTTCAATTTCATTTTCTGCAAGATTCTAGGAATATTTTCATACAAGATCACGGTTTCGATTTTTGAGATTTCCAACCACAATACATTCTGTGAATTATTATACCAGTGCCATTTGCACTTATGAGCTAATAATGTTCCATAAACTCAATTTTTCTGGAAGAGTCAGACTTGAAGTACCTAAGACTATTTCGTATAATTTCCATTTTATATTTGGAGCATTCGGAACAATTGTTTGGTATGTTTTGAATGGTCCACGAATGCATTTGCTCCAGACTATATGAGAAATTTCATCAAGATTGCCCTCGGAGTCATATCAAAAGCTCTCCAAGCTAATTCATGCAAAAGGTATCTTCTGTTTTTTTCATTCTGTCGTGTCAATTGTTAATGTTATTTTTAAATTCTTTCGAGATGGCTATTGATACTTCGAGCCATTGAGAATATACATCGCCATGATAGTGTTTGGATATGTTATATATGAATCGCGTTTGTGTCTTAAAAGCCTGTTTTAAAGAAATCAATGACACTCTGGAGAATCTACGAGAACTTGTGATAAATGATATCTCTAAACTAATCTATCATGAGCAAAGACATCCATTCATGCTAACAGAACTCAAAGCTCTCAAGAAACAATATCTGATGGTCAGCGGCACAGTAAAAATATTGAATATAATCTTCAGTCTGCAGCTTCTTGTTATATATAGTGATAGTTTTTCAAGCAGATCACTTTTTTCCTATATTTTCATATAATGCAGTGGCAAGACGGATTATTCATTAAACTGGATAAGCAGATTCGGAATCAATTTTTGTGTCATACATAATGTATTATCTTATAAGAATAATGTTAATTGTGTGAGCCTGTGAAACCGGCAAAAATCAAGCAGTAAAAATCGGCACTACCGTTCATGATATGCTTAATACCATCAGAGATGAGCAAATAAAATATGAGGTAATAAAGAAAACGTCATATAATTCGTAATTTGTAATTTTCTAAAAATATTTAGTGCACTACGTTACTATTTTTATATTAAATCCAGTAAATTAGTTTTTATTTTATTTTTATAAATTTTATTTTTATAAATTAGTTTTTAAATCTTATTTATTCTTTGATGTCATTGCAGTTGCAACTGTTTTCCTTGCAAATATTGCAATGTGATAATATAATACTTTCTCCGCGAAAGGTCTCACTGTGGACGCTGTACTTC